GTCTTTCGTCTTTTTTCTTTTTTCTTTTCCTTTTCCTTTTCTTGGACAAAAAAGTAGCTATTCTTCTTTTTGTCTCTTGTCTTTTGGCGTTATTTACTATGGATATATATATTCGGGTGGATATATTTTGGCTTTTGTTCATTTCTTTTATCTCCTTTGTCATTTTCTTCTATTTTTCTATGTCTATAGCTATGACTCAATGGATCATCTTCGATGAAAACCACCATCTTTTGTAGCATTACGGTAGTTTTTGTTACTAAATTGTAAACGTGCTGAGCATTGCCGTATATAGCCTTCCTATCAGCCCTGAACCGATAAATTTTGGCTCCTATACATTCATAGATCATAATACAGCCCTGCAGTAAGTTACGGAATTTAGGTTTATATCGTGGAAGCTCTGGAGATAGTATAATTATCGCTCAACGTAGGCTGCAATGTAGATTGTTGTTTGGGCTGACTATATATTTATGTGGCCTTTACCCCATTCTAATACATAGACATAGTATTAAAATACAGTCATTTCCTAAACATTCCTTGAATGCTGGGCCTACGACATAAGAATGCAAACAATATTCCACGCGATATTATAGGGGATTTGATTCTTCTTGTCAGGGACAAATCGGCCGTCGATCACTGGAAAACCATCTCAGGCGTCAGCCGGTGGGCCCAGTCCAGACTTGAAACGGACAAGTGGTCTAAAAGATTATTTGGATTTCGAGGGATGCGAGGTTGAATTACTTTTTTCTTTCTTCTTTCTTCTTCTTTTCAGATGAGAATGGCAATTTACAATTATACTGTCGTTTCATTCGAAATATAGGTGCCTAACAGAGTACCCAGTACGTCGTATAAAATATGGGTTGGGCCCAGGCCGTGTCTCACGTTAAACTCGTGCTGGAGATACTTGTCATTTCCATTTCTTTTCTTTTTTTGTACGTACTTGTGGGAATTAAATTTGAAATGAATAAAATATTTCGAATTAAAGAGAAAGAGTAATAGAACGACATTTTTCACGTCTTAAAAATGTCACTAAATAAGAGGATTCAAGTACCTCTGTCAAATGTGTACGCGCAATCCCTGCAGAAAAAAGTGACAACATAAATAGGGGGTACAGCACAGTCATATACTGGTACTCCCTACCAGGGTGGTAACAGAATAAGAAGAGATAGTGATATACCCCATGTCACAGTATTCAATAGTCCCTAAAGTGCACAGGGTTATAGACGATCATGGCTATAAATAAAAATAAAAGGGTCTTCTTGGCTGTCACTTGTGTTTGAACTGTCAACGTGAACTTTTTCATAAGCTTATTTGATTCAGCAGAGTATTATCGAGTATTAAAATAGTAAAATAGACAAAATATACTTGAGAACAACATACGACGATGCTCATTAGAACTGTAGAATAAGAAAGAAATGTCCTTGTCTTACTGATTTCAGCCGTTCTCCAGGGCTTGGCAGGCAATCGCATTTCCCCCGATTCCCGATTCTGTTTTCTCCCTATCAACCATTCGCTTCACCATTCCTCTTCTCATCTCTTCTCCACATTCGTTCGGGGGGTTTTACGACGAGTGTTCGAGACGGGATCGCCCCTGAAATTCTAAACCTCACATCTCGTCATCTCTCATCATGTTGTTGCCAAAGGGCGGTGTTAATTGGAAGTCAGCCAAGGCCAGATTGCCACCATGGAGGGCAGTCATCGTTTTATTAACACGGACTCGCTTCTTGGTCTCCATAGCCTTGACGGGTCTGCTTATCCTCATGTGGCGCGGTGTCAGCAGGTCTGCATCAGAGATGCAAAGGTGAGAGAGAACACCCAATCCATCATCGGGGAAACCATTTCATACTGACCCGACTGGCCCCCGACAGCTTCTACTGCTATGGGTCCAACAAGTCCCCCATGGAGATGTCCATTAACGAGATGGTCGAATGGAGTGCGCACGCCCAGACCCCCGTCCTCTTCAACCGCCACGAACCCTACGAAGTCAACTCCACCTCCATCACCGATCTCGACCTGAACCCCATCAAGTCTACCTCCAAGGCCGCTCTAAACCGCGAGCGCGTACTCATCCTGACCCCTCTTCGTGATGCCGCTCCCTACCTGGCTAAATACTTCGACCTCCTTTACAAACTATCTTACCCACACGAGTTGATCGATCTGGCCTTCCTCGTTGGTGACTGTAAAGACGATACTCTCGCAAACCTCGCCTCCGAACTCGACCGCATCCAGAACCACGCCGAGGAGAAAGTTCGCTTCCGCAGTGCAACCGTGATTCAGAAGGATTTCGGTGCCGATGTGGAGATGAGTGTAGCAGAGCGACACTCGTTCGCCGCACAGGGTCCACGACGCAAGGCTATTGCCCGTGCTCGGAATTATCTGCTCTATTCGGCTCTGAAGGCCGATCACTCCTGGGTGTACTGGCGTGACGTGGACATAACCGACTGTCCCGAGCGTATCCTGGAGGACTTTATGGCCCACGATAAAGACATTCTCGTGCCAAGTATGTTGATTTTGCTTGAGAAGTTGGATCAAAGATCGAACAGCTAGCTGATAGTGATTTTGTTTTTAGACATTTGGTTCCACCGTTACAACCAGGATGGCCATGATATCGAGGGTCGCTGTATGTATACCCGTGACACCCGGTGCGCTACGCAGATTGCTGACATCTTCATTCCTAGTTGACTACAACTCATGGGTCGAATCCGACAAGGGCCGCCGACTGCGCGCATCTCTGCCTACCGATACCGTTCTGGCCGAAGGCTACAAAGAGTACGACACTGGCCGCACCTACATGGTCAGCATGGGCGACTGGCGAAACAACAAGGATGATGAGGTGGAGCTTGACGGAATTGGTGGTGTCAACATCCTTGTCAAGGCTGATGTGCACCGCTCCGGCATTAACTTCCCCGCATACGCCTTCGAGAACCAAGCCGAGACAGAAGGTTTCGCCCGCATGGCCAAGCGAGCTGGATACCAGGTGGTCGGACTGCCCAACTACGTGGTCTGGCACATTGATACCGACGAGAAGCCCGGAAACCTTGGAGACCGTAAAGCGTTCTAGTTTCTACCTGCATTCCGTCCGCCGGAAATCTCGCTTGGGATCAAGTTGATCTTTGATCCCGCCCTGTCATCGAACATCCACCATTCTCCATTGCCTCGTGTGTGATCTTCCCGATGATTACTATCGGGGAAAAGCTTTTTAACCACGGCGTGTTTCACTTCCGTTCCTTCTGACCCGTTTTTCTTTTTCTTTTTTCTTTTTCTCTTTCTGGATGGATGTTTCGTGACGGAAAGCCTAATGACTTCCCTAATACAGTATCTTCGTGCCGCGTTCTAGGGAGTGTGTGTATTTGTTACCTTGGCGCTACGGGGGAAAATGTTGTTTGGCGGGTTCGCAGGTCTATAAAGTTCCTTCTCCAGGCCTCTTTCCTTGATATACCGAATTTGTGTCTCATGGGACACATATCCCGAGCTATGGGGGTGTGTGTATAACCGGGCATGTACACTCGACTGACTCAATCTCGATCACCAGTTCTTGCGCAAAACCTACATTAGGGAGAACCGGACCGTCTACTGTCATGTGTCACTTGTTTCCAAGTTTGATTCTGATACTGCTATGCAGGTCACCTCCAAATTGTCCTTTCTATTTTCATCTTTTTTTTTTTCGTTTTGTCATATGCTGAGCTGGCGTCCTTGACTTTGGTTTTTTTTTTTTTTTTGAGGTGAGAGGTGGGATATCAAACCAACTCAGTTGAAATCCAGATGCTGTGTGATGAGTCTAGATTTCTTGCAGATGAGGCAAGGCAGATACTCGCGCTGCTCTGCGCTATCTGCTGAGTTTCATGTATATAATCAATTACACGATTTCATTCCCTGCAAATAGTACAAGACGTATCCCATCAAAGTAGGCTAATGGAAAGTCTCCTAGCAAAGACCACGGCTGTTAGGGCAGTTGAACCTCATGTCTCTATCAGAAATTCAAGTCCTCTCATTCAACTCGGGATACTTGCACAATGCAAAGAAATCTAACCAAGAATTGCTGAGTAGATCTTTCCACTCTTCATCTTGCCTTAGGCCAATATTACTGCGCGATTCCCAGTCTAAAATACTTGTTAGGTTACCATTCCCAGGAATGATATTGATGTTGGCTAGGCAGCCGTGTTTTATAGGTCGATGGCATCTTTAGCCAGATTTCATTCAATGATGACCTTGAATCCGTTTGGTGAGGTCCCGTCGTTTCCCATTCTCCAGCGATTTAGAGTTTAGGTATTGAAGGTTGATACTAAGAACCTGATATTAGGGACCTCTAAGTTGGGTGGCTTGATAGATCGTTAGGATCAACCTTGATCATGATAAAGACCATATACGATTGTTGACACTGTAGAAAAGCTTTATGTGGCTCAGGTAACGGAATGCGCCTTGACGGGTTGACCAGTCACACTCTGAACGGGTATTCTCGGCTATTTGGTAGAAATTGCTGTTTCTTTGGACGTCAGACATGAAGTCAGCGAAGCATTCGTATAGGAGGGGTGAACATACGTATGTTCCTATGTTGTATATAGACAGGATAAAGTCTGCCGGGTGGGGCCTTTCCTATCTAGGCTGCCGCCGCTTTATGAGGGCGCTCATGCTCAGGATCACTGAGTAGACGTCAGTACGGGCTCAGGCTCAGTGATCACTCAGTGATCGCCCAGTGATTGCTCTGTCGTGCTCAATGTCGGCTCAGTGTGAGTGCTCAGTGAGTGCTTGGGCGTACTAGGTGATTCATTACTAAGCCTCAAGTGAGCACCCTCTGATTTGGCCAGCACAAAATAGACCATACTCAAAATAGACGGACCCCACAGGGCCATTTATTCCGTGATGGCTAGTCCGTCGGTTATGTTTGGGCTACCCTCGTTTTCTGACTACCCTACCCCATTAGTGATTTGCGTGGAAATAGTCATGCATTACGGGGTGATAATTTTAAAGTCTACAATTTCTTAAGGTGGCTCGAGCTCAAAATGTCAGGTATAAAAGGGGATCGTGTCTAGCTTCGTCCCCGGAGTATATAAGGAAGATTCTACTTGAACCAAAAACAATAGGATGCCGACCAGGATGCCCAAGAAAGCGAGACCGCTCTTCCCTTCACTCCAGCCACGCTCTGTTTGATAGATGATGGGAATAGCTGCGAAAAGCAGGTAAAGACTATGATATAATAAGGTTTGTTTCTGACTGAGCTTAGGGTAAATATGGAACAGGAATGATACTCACATGCCGTAAATAATGGAGAGATAGATTGACAAAAAGAGTACAATGGGCTCATGGCATAGTAGCACCCAGGGTCGAGACAGGGCAGTTTTGAACACTGCTCCTAAGTGCATCTTTCTCTTGTCAATCTAGATTTTGCTGCGATAAACCCGGCCGGTCATTGAGGAGAGGCATGCGGCACGCTTGCTCAACAATACGGGAGTATAGGTCTCGGGCAAAGTAAGGGTCGTGATAATCGCGAACAGTCCAGAAAATGCCGTAATAAGTCCCTCGACCCATCACCAACCGGCATTTTTCGATAAGAAGCTACCAATAATGGGACCCAAGGTCGGCCTGAGGAACAGACCAGCGCAGTACAACCCACTAGCAAGGCCACGACTGATGGCAGGAAATGCGTCGGCGATAATACCACCAGACACTGCGAAAAGCGCAGAACCGAGACACCCAGCGAAGAACCACAGAATAATCAGTGTCCAAATGTTCTGCAACCCAGCGCTTCCAGCAGTGAGGCTGTTAGGCCCACGGCACTTGCGATCATGATATACCAACTTCCATATATCTCACTCAAGGGAGCCCAGAACAAAGGGCCGATAGCGAATCCAATGACGTAGAGCGAAATACCCAAGAAGGCCGACTTCCTCGCTGACTTGGAGGTTCACCAGGATTTCAAAAATGCCACCCGAATAGGCAGATGATACCAAGGCCACCGCTAGTGTCTCGATGCCAACCAGGACCATGATAAGCGCTTTGATCACCGCAGAAAACAACATAGGCCAGTTCGGGTTTTCTAGCGCAGCTGAGATCCTCGATCTCAACCCACGTATCGGCCCAATTCGATAATCATACCATAGGTGATTGGATCGTTGTGGTCTCCATATGGTTTGAGATAAAGTTGTTATTGTGGCCCTCTTGACGCCATAAAATATTTCTTCGACTCTTCTTTTAACTGAGCCGAAAAATCTACGCACGCATCCTGCAAATTCCAGTACTAGGGTGTCCAAGTTGATTCCGGCGGTGGCCATTGCCTCGCTGCTATGGGTAAGCAGAGTACCGATCGCAAGGAAGTGCTCTATATCTACATTTCATTCGGCAAGGATTTTCTCATTCATACAGACAAACAAGTGAAGATAAAACAAAAGTATAGAACATTAAGGGAACATAGATATTCCAGACACATGGCATTATCTATTGCATCCATTTGGGGGGAATGCTCAGTTCACCGATGCTGCGAATTTTCTCGCCGGCTCGATTCACATGTGTTGATAGGTCTAATTCAAGCTCTATGTGAGCCATACAGCTCGTCCAACAGAACTTAGCAGGTCAAACGTGTGAAGACAATTAGGAGAAACAACGGAAGCATTATGAACTTGAGCCAGAGGCGAAATCTCCGCTTTCGTTGTTGGGTGTGGGTAAAGCCAGCCTGTGTGTAAGTAATTGCCCAGTCATCCCATTCCGGGGATATGCAGGTAAAGTATTGATAGATTTGTGAGAATCTGTGGCACAGTCAGAATTGAGACCTTTGTATACAACAATGGATTGGTACGTACGGGTAAATCATCGAGTTCCATCCTCGTCCATCAATGTACCAATTACTGCAACCCCCCTTTACCCAGATAGAGTCTTTCGACGCTAGCTGGACTTTCTGTGTCCAGGTGCAACATGCGTCCTTCTTGACCTCCAAGGACGCAACTTGACCTTCTAGTACAGGGCCAAGGAGCTGCATGATGTAGCAGACGGAGTTTTCGATGCCGGCCATGACACTCCCGTGGCTAACCGATGAATTTGGACCAGATATAAAAAAGAGGTTGGGAAACTGGTCCATTGCAAGCCCCAGATATGCTTGAGGTCCTCCCCGCGCATTCCATATCTTCTGGAGATCGATTCCATCTCGACCCGTCATGCTGATGGACGAGAGGAAGTTTGAGGTTGGGCTATACCCCGTGGCGAGCAACAAAACATCAGTGAAAACTTTGGTTTCTTTTTTGCCCGTACCGAGGACTAAACAATTCTCCTCGAACCGTTTCAACCGTGAAACGTGAAGACTAAACCTCGGGTCTTTGAGCGTGTCATACCAACCAGGGTCAAGAATCACCCTCTTACATCCAACTGTGTATCTTGGCGTGAGCATGCTTTTATATTCTTCCGGAACCTTCCGATCAATATAGCTAGTAAGCCTTCGTTGAAACCGTTTTTGAAACTGACTTCTGTTTGAAAAGGGCCGGTAGAAAAGAAAATAAAACAACTCATAGAGGATGAACAGCACCGAGCGCGCCATCCAGGCGCCTAGCCTGCAACTGACAATTACGGGCATGCATAGATTCCAGAAACGACGTAATTCACCCGAGTAGGGATCTGGAGTGACCCAATGAGGGGATCGGATGATTTGCGTGACAGATCTTGGCTGGATCTCGCTCGAGGCGAGCAGTTTCGGCACAAGCTGCGCGGCACTGCATCCGGCACCTATAACTGTGATATCTTTCCCACGCAAGGTTACAGAGCTATCCCACTGTGCAGTATGCATTATACGACCGCGGAAAGTGTCTATGCCTAGAATAGACTGCAGCATCGATATGTCGGGACTCCCAAATTTGCCCACTGCGCTGATGACGATCTTTGCACGGACACGAGTTCGCTTTTTGGCGGTGACAATGCTAGCAATCCATTGTTTTTCACTATCGTCCCAGATGAGATCGGTGACATCGGTGCTGAGTTGGATTCTGTTGAGGATCCCATGCTGTGTGCAAACTGTATGTAGATATTGATACATTTCCTTACCAGTCGCCCTGGGACCTGCAAAGCTCGGCAGAGGAGCGAAAGAGTAGGAATAAAGTGGCGAAGGTCTGGATGATCAGCCACTTTCCATTCAAAATGTCCCTCACACAGACTTACGAATCAGTGGCCACCCCAGGGTAACGATGATTCCACCATGTTCCCTGAATCAAATGTCAGCTTGATTTGCGAACAAGCGTGAGGGTAGTGATGCGAAATGTACCCCGATTCCGTCCTGACTCTCGAAGATCATAAACTGGTTGCATCCAAATTTGCGTTGCAGTTGACACGCAGAAGCGATACCGGATATCCCAGCTCCGATAATAATGACCGGGTAGTAATGATCGTTTGGGAGAGAATTATTGCAGTCTTCCATATTGCGGCTTTCAGGAGAAGTAGAACCTTGTACAGAATCCAACACAGGGACAAGGGCATTTATGTCATTCTTTGATGCGGGACGAAGCAAGGGGGTGAAAATCTAGATGGTTTGCCCCTGTCAATCCTTTCGAAAAGTCTCATTTTCCTATATTAGTATCCTGATGAAAGGCATATTTATGTCATTCTCTGAGATATCATGGACCAGCGTGGGTGCAGACCCGATCTGGATGTCATAATAGTTGGCGCCGGGTTAGCTGGCATAAATGCAGCCTACCGCGTGCAATCTGAGCTGCAACACAGTCGCTATCTTGTGATAGAAAGCAAAAGCAGAATCGGTGGTAACTGGAATAACTTCAGATACCCCGGGCTCCGTGCTGACTCCGATGTCTATACTTACTCGTATCCCTGGTTCCCATGGAACCAGAAGACCAAACATGCCGATCGAGAGTCCATCCTACGTTATCTGACAGCTGCTACCGACTCATTCCAGCTGGAAAATCATATTATGTTTGATCACAAACTACATACAGCACATTGGTCCACCAAGTTGCGTCTGTGGAGACTAGTGTGCCGTCATTATCAGAGGCAAAAAACTAGCACGGTGATATTTCGCGCTAGGTTTGTCATCTTCTGCACGGGAATATTCAACCATGACGAGGCGCGGCCGGCCTTAATTGCAGGGTTGGGCAATTTTGCTGGCCCTGTTGTCCACCCTCAGTTCTGGCCCGAGTACTTGAACTATGCAGACAAACGCATCTTGCTGATCGGTAGCGGAGCAACAGCAATGGCATTGCTCCCAGAGCTCGCTGACACCGCTGCATCCGTGACTCTCGTCCAGAGAAGTCCAGGGTACCTTCTCACCCTACCGGAGAGAGAGCATTCTAAGAATGAGGGTTATCGCTGGACTTATCGAGTCAAATGGATCGGCTGGATGATGATCATGAAGCTCTTCTACCAGCTCTGCTGCCTGTTTCCGGGCTTGATGAAGTGGATATGCATCGCCTGGACACGGTGGCAGCTCCCTGCCCATGTCCCCGTCAAGCCTCATTTCACCCCCGCATACAACCCGTGGGAACAACGACCGAATATCTCCCTCGGACGGAAAATCTTCCGAGCCCTGGAATGCGGAAGAGCATCAATAGAGACTGGCCACATAGCCTACGTTGACTGCCATGGTCTGATGCTCCAGTCTGGAAAGTATCTCTCCGGCGACATCATTGTGACCGCGACAGGGCCGAAGCTTCAGTTCGCCGGCGGGACTCGGATCTTTCTCGACGATGCGCAGATCGAGCCGGGTAGGAAACTGGCCTGGAATGCTGTTATGGTACAGGATATTCCTAATGCGGGCTTTGTCACGGGGTATGTGCACACATCGTGGACATTGGGGGCGGATATGCGAACACTACTGATTTGTCGTGTGATTCGGGAGATGGAGAGGGATGGGATTCGGGCTTTGGTCCCTCGGTTCCCGCGCGATGCGCAGACTGTTACGCGGCGGTCTGTTTTGCTGAACTCGTCCTACATCTTGTCCCAAGAGCAATGTCTGCCAAAAGTGGGCGATTTTGGTCCCTGGAGGGCAAGAGACACATACTTGACTGACTTTCTCTTTGCGAGATACAGTCGAAGAATATATGAAGGCCTTGCAAAATTGGACAAGAATTGAAACATGATTCATTCACCTACTTGCAGTGGTTTATGACAAAAGGTAGAAGAGCAAGAGGGTTGAATGTGAGAAAATTTTGGTACACAGCGAGAGAAAATATGTGTAAATGATTGGTCCTAATCAGGGAGTCATGTGCATGTCTGTGTCCCCTTACTACTATCATCCATCTCCTTGACCCCGTATACCTATTCTACCTTCCTCATTTCAACTTTGTTCCTTATGGGTTTCCGTATCTCTGCTGGACACGGCGTACCTCTCATTGAGGGTAGCCACACACAGCCGACTCAGCCCCCCAACAGTTCCCGCTTTCGAGATCTCCGTTAAGCTAATCTCCATTCCTAGTTGTCTACGAAACCAGTTCCGAATTTCGATTGACATCAATGAATCGATGGGAATACTGGCCATGTCGTCGTTCTCTCTCTCGTCGCGAGACATATGGGCGTTGATCAGCTTGCACAGCTCGGACATAATGCGCACCTCCGTGGCCGGGTCATCTAGCAGATCTGGACTCTGCTCAATCATCGTAAAGAATTCCTTCAGATCTGTCTTGTCCATCTGAGGCCCTCGCTTTGTCTGTCCCTGAAGATTCTCATACATGGAGAACCTGATATCAGGGCCCCACAAAGGCGTCACACCGGGCGCGGAGAGAGGCTTCACTGAGTTCACGCCAATCATCATCACACTTGATGTGAATTTTGCCGAATCTGGTGGCGACCTGCAGGGCAAAATGGCTGCATGAAGTGCATCGATGACGGCGTCCTCACGGATAAGACGGGCTCCTGTGGACTTCACACGGTTCAGCGTGGGCTGATCATGATGCACGCACCCGATGTCCTCCACTATGCCGAGATTCACAACGGATGCGACGCGTCCTAGCTGGCGACGATACGTTACGAATGCATCAAGGAAAGAGTTAGCTGCCGCATAATTTGATTGGCCCACGGTGCCAACTACTCCAGACATGGAACTAAACAGAACAAAGAAGTCAAGGCCAGGTTCGTGCACTTCTAACGCCCGATGCAGATTGTGCGTGCCATCAACCTTGGGTTGAGTGGCTTGCAGCCATTGACTGTGCGTCATCTTGGCAAGGCTTTCATCCTAGATCGATGTGTCAGCTGTGGTGTCTTGAAACGAAAAGCCTTTGGCCTTTAGGAAGGGCAGAGAGGGAACATACTTGAAGCACCATGGACATTTGAATCACGCCTCCAATTACCCGCCCGGCAGCTCTTGACAGAGCCTTTGTGATATCCTCCGGTCGAGAGACATCCCCAGAAACCATCACGACCTCACAGCCCTGCCGTTTTAGTTCACAAGCGAAACGGCGATGATCTGGCAGACGACCTGCCGACCTCGAGAGGAAGATCAGGTGCCGAGCGCCTTTTTCGACAAGCCAATTCGCCACAGCGCGTCCAATGCCACCCAGTCCACCAACCAACAGATATGATTTGGTAATGCTGAGGTTCGCAGCGATTTGGGTGGGCTCGGAGGATAATTGCTCCCCGCCATTAGGCATCTGAATCACGATCTTGCCCATGTGCCTTCCGCTCTGCATGTACTTGAAAGCCTCAATCACCTCGCTCGCATCAAAAACCTTGATTGGTCGAATCGGTCGAATCTTATTACCCTTGTACCAGTCGACAAATTGTACCATCAAGCTAGATATCTGAATTAGACAAGTGACTACCCACTTATGCGGAGCTGCTTACCGTTGCGATAGTTCCGGCTGCTCTGCAATAATACTCAACATGTCGACTCCAAAAAATGACCTGTTGCCGTTAAAAAGATCCATATTCAAACTTCCATGGGCGAGAAAGTCTCGCTTTCCCAGCTCAATCATTTTTCCAAACTTGGCGACGCACTGCCAGGACGCATGAAGTAGGCTGCCGGCTAGCGAATTCAAGACCAGATCAACACCGGCTCCACCTGTTCTGCTCATCACACCTTGATAAAATGAATCGTCTCGAGAGGTAAATATATTCTCCATAGGAATTCCATATTCTGCATGCAGATAGCTTCGCTTTTCCGGTAAGCCCGCAGTGGCATATATCTATACTGATCGTTAGCGACAGGAAACACTTGTCAGGGAGTGAGCGGGCATCTATACAGTCGCGCCAATTTCCTGGCATATTTGAATGGCGGCTAGACCCACGCCTCCTGTGGCACAATGAATCAGAACAGTCTTTCCAAGATGTTAGCATTCAGTTCAAGTTTAGAGATTTGGTGAGTTCTCCTCCCTACTTACCTGATGCGGCTGCAGTTGCCCGATCGTGACCAATGAGTAAAAGGCGGTTGCGTACACCGCTGGAATTGTCGCAGCATCCTGCAACGACAGCCCTGAAGGGATCTCAATGCAGTCATGCTCATCTACACGCGCCCGTGTCCGAAAGAGACCTTTATTACAGACCACCACCTGGTTTCCAGCTTTGAATCTGGTGACCTTGGCGCCGACTCTTCGCACGGTAGCACTGGCTTCGATCCCAGATTCACTTGACTCTCCCATAACACCAAGTGCAATCATAAGGTCCTGATCGATGTACGGTTAGCAAAAGACCCGGCCTTTTTTTCAATCGTGCTGCCACATACCCGGAAATTCAGGCCAACACAATGCACATCCAACTCAAGCTCCGTGGGCCCCAGCGGACGCTCATCGCTCAGACTGGCTTCCCAGAATAGACTATCAACAAGTCCATATCGGCGAACAGACAGGCAGCGTGGTGTATCCGGATCAGGCTTGTCTTCCATTTGTCGTCGGAGGGACCGCCAGTTGACTCGGCTGATATAAACCTGTCCAGACCGAACCACATATTCATCGTCTCGTAGACTTTCGTGCGGAATCACCTGTCTTGTTCGGTGGTATATGTCCACAACCGCTTGAGAGGTTGAATCATTCAAAGCATCAAGCTCGATAGTGACGATGTTTCCCACTATCTCCCTTCGCAGAGTGCGAGAAAGCCCTAGGACGAGACCAAACCGGGGGTCCTCGCAGGCCATTTGCACACTTCGCGTAAGATAGATAATGGGAAATTTTGAACTTAGGGAAAAGAGCCGTTTCATCTGCTCAAATCGCACCTCATCCATGTCATGCAGCGCAGGTGCCGACAGATCCAGAAGGGAGATGATGCAGCCTGTGTCTACAGGTAGTGACTCTAAGGTTGCCCAATTCACACTGTAGCCCTGCTTTGTCAATATTCTCTCTAGGCTTTCATCCCATGGAAGGCTGCTTTGAGAGGTGGTCGAAAGGAGTGTTATCTGCTGTGCGGGCAAGTAGTCGGCCGGGCGCCGAGATATAATATTGGCATTCTGCTGGAATGGATACACACCATCTGGTGTGACACACATCGCACCAGTGAAACCAGCCTGAATGAGCTCAGTGTGCCATCGTTCCGGCTTGACATATGGAGAATCGGCTCGTCCGTCTTCTTTTCCATTCCACCAGTCGGGGAGAATTCCCATTATGAAATCGGTATACAGAATGTCTGCGGCTCCGTGTTAGCTCTCCCGAGATTTTAACTGACAAAAGAAAGACATGGTACACGTCATACTCACCAGGACATAGTTCTTGAAGCAGAAGAAATCCACCCGGCGCCAAGAGCTTGTGGACATTTACCAATGCATCTGAGAGAGATGGTGTGGAATGAATGACCTGCCATATAAGTTAGTTTTAATGAACATGTATCATGCTACGACAGGAAATCTAGGTCATGTGAGAAAATAATATCACCGCTTACATTGGAGGCAATAACCAGGTCATACGAGGCCGACATAAATCCCTGCTGGAGAGGGTCTTTAGTGATATCGAGAAGGTGGAAAGTGATACTCTCGTGTTGGCTGAACCGGTCCGCTGCAGCCGAAAGGAAGGCCGGCGATATATCAGTGAAAGTGTAACTGGCGAACGTTCTATTTCCATCCTTTGACCGCATTGAATCGATAACCTGTGCACAAGTGGCCCCTGTGCCTGCACCGATCTCGAGAATTCTAACCCGAGGGTTCCAGTGACCGACCTGCGACAAAAAGGGCTTCCAGTCCGAGAGCGAGCTGCCGAAGTCATACAAATTGCGCAGGTGATCTATGGTCAAGACTTCCAGAGGAGAAATCCTTCCCTCTATGATTCCGCTGAAATTCTCAGAGACTAGTCTTAAGACCTCTTCCACCTTCTCCACGCCTCGTTCGAGAGTTGTGAGCTGCTCGCGGATCTCGGCGGCTCGCGCAAATTGCTCACCCTTGTCCATTTCCTGCCATGGAATTTCAAGGAAAGTTTGAGCCGTCCCATTTGAGACCTGCTCATGAACTTTCTTCAACCAGGATCGGTATGTTTTTAGATGTTCAGTCGCAGGAATCACATCTGCGATCTGCACCGCTGCTTCGAGGATGTAGAAGCAAGTGATTTCCGCAACTAGTGACACGCCCCTCTCTTCGGCATTGAAAGGAAGCCAGTTTGTCGGGGAGATCAGGTCCAAGCATGGTGCCCAGTCTATCTGGGACAAGAGAGGGATAGTGCTTTCTTCATCTACCTCATCATTTGCGAGAGAGAAAAAGTTCGCCCCGGTCATAACTAGCGCAGGTCCTACCTTGCTTAACATGCTGATATTTCCAGAGAGGGTGGTCGAGGACACGTTACTGCATTTATCCGCTTGACACCAGATGTTTCCTTCGGCCCTGGTAACAGAGATCCGATCGATTGAGGCCGGAATGGCTAGTGAGGTAGCACGTCTCTGGATTCCATTGGCCATAGCGACGGTTAAAAGTTGAAGACCCTGGTCAATCACAGTCGGATGCACCAGGTAAGCGTCTCCAGTATTGCTACTGTCTTCGACCACGGTTGCATTCGCACGATAATCTACTGGGTCGACGGTGATGTCACTGATTCGCTGGAAGCTCCTCCCGTAATTCAGCCCTGACCGGGCCATGAACTGATACCAATCTCTTGACTCAACTGTCCGTGTCCAGCGTGGCTGCTTGCTTATCTGAGGCAGCTTTGCGTGATTGGTTGCACGTATCTGGCCCTGACAGTATGTGCTCCATTCGGAGCCATCCAAGGCAATAACTAAAAACTCAAACCACTCTGAGTCCGCGATATCGCTGAGTCGTTCAGGTCTTAGCGATGTGAGGATCTCAGTGGTTCTCGTTTCCTGGAGGAAGAGTGGTTTCTTCAAAATAAGGTTCCGAATCTCATAGCCTTCACATCGGCAATGCTGTCGTATGGCTTCTCCGACCATAGCCACATACCCAGCGCAGGGAAACACCGTATCCTTGAAAAGCTTGTGATGTCCCAGCCAGATGCAGTTGTGAATCTGAAGCATGTTCCTCCACGAGGGCTGGAGAGGGCTTGTCTCCAGCACTCTGGATCCGAGAAGCTCATGATGCGGAAACTTTCGGTGTCGCCAATTTTCGCTGATACGACTCTCGCTCCAGTGCCGTTCGGCGTGTTGCCAGGGGTACCGCGGAAGACAGTCAACCACCCTACCAGAGCCGTTGATCATGAATAGGTCGACATCAACTCCTCGGATAAAAGCCATTCCGGCTGTTCGGAGAACCGAATCTTCTGCGCTTTGGCTCCGCATCAAGGTTGGGATGTACCAGTTGTGCCCCTTCGTCTTCACCGACTCAAAGATTTGGCGTAATGGCCCTTGAAGCACACTATGGGGTCCAACTTCGATGAAAACACGGTCTCGATCCGGTTTCGACTGGAGCATACCCCTGACTGCCTTGTTGAACTCGACGGTCGAGGTTAGATTACGGCTCCAGTAAGTACTATCCAGCCCAGCTGGATCAGTGATCTTCTCTCCGGTCACAGTTGAATACATGGTTATCATGCAGTTGGAAATTTCGATCTCGGGTGCGATTACTGTGGTATAATCTGCACCCATTGACTGCATCTTCGCTTCTCAGAATGTCAGTATATTCCCATTACAAGGTATAATTAAGAAACACCCACGAGAATGGTATGCTTTGTTAACCCTCAGCATGCGGCAAAAAGCATCCGGGTATGCATCACGAATCACGTCTATAGTATGAGACACCGCGAGGGTCTCTCCCGCAATGGTTGTGCTTGAGGGGCTGTTCTCGCAAGCAATCACGGCGCCCTCCACTAACCAAGGCTTTACCTCAACCCTTGAGAGACCGACTGCTGCCATAGATCCATCAGCCACGTGCTGAGTCAATCGACCACGATGATACGCAATCAAGATGGCACTGCGAAGCGAGATAGCTCTGGCGGCGTAGGCTGCCGCAATCTCTCCGCTGGAATGTCCCACCACGGCAGAGAATACGATGCCCCATTTCCTCAGAAGGTTTGCCAAAGCGATCTGGATTGCTACGCATACTGGCTGGGAGAGCTGGGGATCATTGATCTGCGATTGAGCCTCGGGCGCCAACAACGCTTCTGCGATGCCGTTAATTTTGGTCATCCAGTTCATCGAGGGTCGGTGTATGTACCTGCTATGGACCAGGACGGAGCAGGGTCTGCGGATTGCAAAAGTTTGTCCATGAGCTGAATGTCATTTTTGAAATCCTCGCAGTTTTCCAGCAACTCGCGAGCCATGCCGGCCCACTGCGCACCTTGCCCCGTGAAAACCAGCGTGACCTCTGGAGACCCCGAGGCTTCAACAGCTAGCTCCTGGAAATTCGCGTCGACATTTGAAGAGGCGACCGCAAAGCTCCGGTATTTTAGACGTTCTCTTCTTGAGCCCAGAGTATAGGCGACGTCATTCAAAGTCTTTCTCTCACTCTGCATGAACTTCACCAGGTCATCCACTCTTTTCGAGAGAGCTTCCGCACTGCCCGCAGAGACAATAAGCAGCTTCTTAACGAGGTTAGACGATAGTTGGTTAAGTGGAGTTCCATTCTCAATGCCCGGTTCCAGAATTGCCTGCATTTAGTGTTATCCTAAGTTCCAGTGAATGCAGCAGGTCGAGGAAAAAGACATACATGGGCATTGGAACCTCCGATACCGAAACAATTCACACTTGCTCGGAGTTCTTTATGCTCTGGCCATGGCATTGCTTCAATAGGTACCTTTAACTTGCAGTCCTTAAAGGGAACTGTTGGCGTTATTAGCATGACATGAGTGGCTCTGGGCATATTTAATACAGACTCCCGGGATTTGGCGACTCGAAAAAGATATTTGGTGGGACGGTTCGTTTTTCAAGTGCAAGAACGGTCTTGATAATGCTGGTGATTCCTGATGCTCCCTCCGAATGCCCCACGTTTGGTTTCACCTAGCCTCAAGAGTTAAATAGGGCTTCGAGCAATTTGGTTTTTGAAACGTAATCTGACCGATCCGATGAGTACGCCAGTGTCGCGAAACAACTCCGCTACTACAGATGTCTCCGCAGTGTCTCCTGCCACTGTGCCCGTGCCATGGCATTCGAAAAACCCTGTATTGGTAATATTTTGAATCTGCGCGCGCTGGTACGCCTTTCGAATAAGCTGCATCTGTGTAGCGGATCCAGGTGTAGTAATCCCTGGAGTTCTCCCGTCGCAATTTGTTGCGGTGGCCCGAATGATTGCGCGAACAGGGTCTCCATCACGCACAGCGTCTGCGAGGTGTTTGATGTAGATTGCGTTGACCCCCTCACCTCGGCCGTAACCATCCGCACCCGCGTCGAATGTGCGACAAACTCCGGTGGGCGACAGGACAAGGTTGTCCGACATGGTAGTGGTCATTGTTGGAGTGAGAATGAGATTAGTCCCAGCCACAACGGCGGACTCGCAGTCTCCAGCGAGCACGGCCTGGCATGCCTCATGCAGCCCGACCATAGACGCCGAACATCCTGTTGCCAAGGTCATACTGTAACCCGTATGTGTCAATCGCGAGGGTGGTCGAATACAAAAGGGAGGTAAAAAGGGAAGAACCATACCTCGGCCCTGTGAAGTCAAACTCATACGAGATCCGGTTGGAAAGCGCAAAGTTGCCCGTTCCCAGAACATGATACCGGTCAATCCTTTGCGTGTCCTTAGACTGCAAATCATACCAGTCCTCCCCAAACACGCCCACAAAGCAGCCGATATTCCTGCCCTGGCCCCGCCAGCCTACCTGTCCACCGGTGTCCATGCATTCATAAACAACCTCGAGCAGCAGCCGTTGCTGAGGATCCAATCGCGATGCTTCGTACGGTGTCAACGAGAAGAATTGATTATCGAAGTACGCTGGATCCTCCTGAAGAAAGTAGCCGCTCTGAGTCCGCACCGAGCCTGCCCTTGCGGGGTGATAGAAGGCTTCGACATTGTATCGTGACCCAGGTACAGTGCAGTGGCCGTCTTTCTTGTTGATGAGAAAGTCCCAGAAATCCTCGACGGTGTTGATACCACCAGGAAGACGCATGGCCATTCCTACGATGGCTAGGGCTTCAGGACCAGAATGCCCCGGGGCATGAGAATCATGACATAGAGTCTCCGAAGGCATATTGCAGTGAGTCAGGGTGGGTGAAGGAAATTAGGTGAATATTTTCTAGCAAAGATCGCACAGTACTTCTGTCGTCCAGGACAAGGTGATTGAGTTCTTCACTATAAAGCACTAACTAGATTCGGCGCAATATGACATGTTATTTCTGCTGGCCCAAAACCTTCTTATACGAGCGCTTTCATCGCACTCTGGAATTCCGTCTTAAGATTGGCCACCGGACCCGCAATATCATCATGGAACGATTCAGGGATCTTCGCTCGCGCAGCTTGTTGAAACTCACTCCGTTCGTTCTCAAACAGCTGCATGATGGCAACGACCATGAGCCGAATACCGCTCTTGTCATAGACCGACCCCTGTGTGCGTTGATAATAGTGGATGTTAGCGATGGGATCCACAAACGCAACTGCACTAGAGCGATACATACCTTGCTACCAGCAAGAGCCATGACATCCGCAATAGAGCGTCTCACAGCATGATAGGTCACCAAGATATCGGCCACCTCATGGTCCTCGAAAGGCGGAGCCGAATCCCACTGCCCCCTAGCTGATTTGGTGGACGAGTAGACGTCCCAGACGGCGCGTCCCAGCTCCAAGGATTTCAACCATCCGCCATCGTAGGCGTCAAACATGGTGTGAGCGCTGTCGACACTTTGGCGAAGATTATTCATGCCGGCAATCACCGTCGGGGCATCCTTGGCCCTAACCACGTTGGTGCATGCGCAGAGCCAGGTCAACACTAAGCCCAATGGCACCGGGGCTGTGAGCTTCATCCCTATAACTTTAATGTGTAGGTAGGATCCTCTTATTCAGTGGGGATGGGTGGGCTCGAATCTGGTGGCAAGGCGGGACAAATGCGCGTTTCACTAGATACATTGACGCGTCGGGTTGGCTACCAAATCAATCATATTTTTATAACTGCGAGCCAGTAGGCGCATGTTGGACTAGAGACATGGTCGACTGTACAGTATGTGTCTCCCCACCTTGCGCATTCTCCCTTGCATAAGTGACATATCTCATTGGCTAATACATAGTTTTCTCACTTTTGTTGAGTCCCTTGCCGATGTGTACCGAGCGATTAGTCCACTCTTGATCGACATGACAACCCACCCTATCAAGGAGATATGTGGCTGTGGACCATGAGATCTGCGGGTTTCTTCGGTAGCTACATCTCATTCCGATCGTGCATCGGTCGCTTGCGTTATAAGCTGGAGCTTCCACGCTACCACTCTCCTTACAGTATGACCAGTCCCAGAGTTTTGCTGAGCTTCCACGATCTTCATTCGGACACAAGTCTCGAACCATCATCTAATGCTTTGTTGTGTTATTCATAGAACTAGTAGGAACAATACTGTCATAGCTCCCCCTTCAGCCCCGCTTCGGCTTCTCAGTAGCCCTAGTCCCATGTACCCGATCAAGAAGCCCGATCAAGCCGTAATTGACCGTCATCAACTCATGGTGCAGATCATGGACCTCAGGCTTCCACCCGTCGGGGGTCTCCCACAGCCGGTAGCCACTGTGCGCCAGGGCAGCCTTGAGACCGACGGCGCCCACAAACGCCCACAGGGTGACGATATGGACATCCAGGAGCCGCGCGGGCCACGCAATCGGCAGCATGTTTGTGAGGATGTGCTCAACAGGATGGGCGTATAGAGTTGCCAGAGCCACGGGGGCGCGGAACCGGTGGTGCTGTCGGTGAAAGCGCGCGTAAAAGAGCGGATGGTGCAGGAGCCGGTGGCAGTAGTAGTAGATGATCTCCCGTGCCAGCATGCACAGGGCGAATTCAGTAATGAACTCGGGCTGGGACGGCAGGGTTGGTGCGACGCGGTATCCGAGATCTGGTCGGTGTAGGACGACATGGACCAAAAGCAGCTGGAGGGCGTGGAGCGTTGTGCTCAGTAGTTGGTTCAGGAGGGACCCGAAAAATGCATCGCGGATAATGCTCACCCGGCTGGGCTGCTTGTTCGCCGGCTGGATCTTGTATCGTTGGAGGGAGGGCCAGGCGAGGAGGTCGCAAACTGTAAATAGCCCTGCTGGGAGCCAGAAGGTTACCAATTGGGTTCCTAGCATGCCGGCGATTTCGATCAGAGGGGTCGGGTGTCTTTGCACGATTGATGTCCAACGCGTGGGGATATCCATGATGTGTGAGTCTGGTGCTTTGTGATGCTGCTGATGGCTGAAGGGAGATGCTTTGGGAGATGGACATCGGTGTCCATAAAGAATTTGAGAAGCTTGGAGTAAGACCTCGCTATAGGTTAGTGGCAGATTATGCAGGAATGGATCGCATCCAGGAGAAGGTTCGCCCTTGCATGAAAAGTTCCTAGTCGATCTGGTGGCACATATGGGTGGATTCAGGCCAGAAGCAAGATAGGGACAAAGGAATGTCGACGAGCTTCACTATCATAGAACTCTCCTGATTTCGACACATGATGGACTCTTCTCACAAACTGTGGTGGAAGCGAGTACACCTTCGGTACTTCGCCGCCAACGTCGGTCTTCCCCTGTTCGTATTATACCATGCGCCCGCTATAGCCTTCCAGGGGAAAACTCGCGTGTGGACGTTGATATATGCCTTTGTGACCGGGCTCAGTATCACTGCCGGTACGTCATGTTGGAAGTCCCCCTTCCATCTCCGAATCTGACCCGGTGAATCAGGCTATCACCGTCTCTGGAGTCACCAGTCGTACAAAGCATGCCTCGCGCTACGCATTTTCTTTGCAGTCGTCGGTGCTGGAGCCCTTCAGCTCCCCATCCGGATGTGGGCAGCCGACCACCGCGCTCACCACCGGTTCACCGATACGGATCGCGATCCCTACAACAGCCGACGCGGCCTTTTCTATTCGCACATAGGCTGGATCCTGACCTATGACTCGAGTCGATTCGGCAAGGGCAGCGAAGGAGTTGATCTGTCGGATCTGGACCGCGACGCGGTCGTCGTCTGGCAGCGGCGGGCCTACTATCCCCTGGCGGGCTTGATGGCGTTCGTCTTTCCGGCGTGTGTGGCCGGGTGGTTGTGGGATGACTGGGCAGGCGGGTTCCTGTATGCGGGGTGTCTGCGCGTAGTGATCGTCTGGCATGTTTCTTACTGCATCAACTCGTTGGCGCATTGGGCGGGGCACCAGCCGTACTCGGCGCGAAATACCTCGCGGAACCATGCATTGCTGGCTGTGTTGACATTGGGGGAAGGCTATCATAATTATCATCATGCTTTTCCCCGGGATTATCGGAACGGGCCGCAGTGGTGCGATTTTGATCCGACGAAGTGGTGGATCTATTGGTGGGAGGTGGTCGGATTGGTTTGGGATGTGAAGAGGTTTCAGGTTGGAACTGGCGAAGCTAAGGTGGGTATTGGCCTATAATGGTGGATTCTAGAAGTGTTGTAGGATGTGTAGAGGGTTGGGTTTGGTGCTTGGGCTCATATACTTAATTGGCGTGTCTCCTCTTTCTGAAGTATGTGCGGAGCATCACAAATAAAGACTTGCTGACAAAGTTAAACTCGGAAGATAATAAATGGATGAGTGATTTGATCATCAGATTCAGCTCATTTTCTGGGTATTGACGAGGAACATAGGGCAGAGGCTGGAACGTGGAATGGCCTTCCAGCGTCTAGTTCATGGTGTACGCTGGACTCTCCTGCTAGTTTAGGAGACGCCCATCAACCATACAAAGCTACTTTAGTTAACTATAATTAAACCTAGTTAGTTATACTTATCCTAGAATCTAGTTTCGAAAAGGATACACCACCTATAATATTAATACCTATAAATATGGCTCTAAAATATATATATTATATATATCACGAGATTCTCTATATTTATATTTATAGTATATAAACTACCCAGTTGGGGGTTTTTTGAGATAATCCTAGATATTATAGAACCAAAAATTGGGGATTGGATATTTTCCGCAACCATATTAAGACGGTATCGTTGATGCGAGAGACTCGGCGAGTTGAATAGTGGCATAGCCGCAGAATGGTAAAACCAACAAATATGATCCGATTGTCGGTTGGCCTCCAGCTAGAGGCGAAACAACCGGGATCGACCACCAAATTGATAACGCCAGCCTTTCGTTGAGGGGACAACGGTCAAGAGTTCTACTGTAATGACCAACTACATTTGGATGAGGGAGCGTGGTACATTTTATTAGCTGCTCCCGCGTCTTGCTCAAGTCGTGCTCAGTGAGGGAATCAGAGCGCTCAGGTCACGGCCACTTGAGCGTGGCATCCGGCTTACATAACAATCAGGTGTTACCCAGGGCGTGCTCAGTTCTACTCAGTGAGCAAAAAGCGGCATGGGGTGAGCACTAAAACAGAAGGGGAAAGCCAAGACTTGTCAGATATATCAGACATTATCCTGTCTATATGTACTTTCTTGGAGATATATTGGGCCCATCTTCGGGTACCTTTCTTATTCCAGCTCTTGCACAGATAGATTGAGGTTTTGGATAATCCTTGCCAAAAAAAAAAAAAAAAAAAAAAAAAAACAAAACGGTCAGCTGAAAAAAAAAAAGAAAAGGGGCCAAAATATGAGGTGCAACCAACATTAAAGTGTTTAGGTGAAGCTAAGAGGTAACGTAATCATTCTCAACCCCCACAGATACATGCCCATCTCCAGCAGGAGACAACCTCAAAAGAAGAAATAGAATCACTAACCCACTTTGCTTGAAGGTGCCTCCAATCAACCTACGTTTTTTTTTTCTCACCTCCACGGAGATGCATCTCTAGGCCCGTGCTTTGTTTAGAGCATGGGATCTTCAAGATCACCACTGTAGTCGAACCCAGTTTCGCTTCATCGGATGAAGTAGCACAATGCCTCCCATATCTAAAACGTGTCAGGGCTGCGCGGATTCCAAGGTGCGATGTGTCCGAGATGCCGAGACCGCGTGTAATCGGTAGGAATCAGAACAGTCTGAGATTTCCGTTGAAGAAAACTGGGGCTTATCTAAACTACACAGGTGTCTCCGCTTGGGAAAAGAATGTCTATATCGCCAGACTGGCCGTCGATTTAAGGGTTTCCACAAGGACCGGTAAGAAGACTTTCTGTCATAATAATATTGTTTATTATCTAACGTATGACTCAGTAAGATTGCGGCCCTTGAGTCAAAAATCAATGAACTCAAGGCCGATCGGGGTGGCCCAGAAGGGCATGAAACCAACACGAGCACGGGCAGCACATCATTAGTTGACGGCGATGCTGCGCCCGAAGACATCATCAGCCGAGACTTGCTTGACATGAAGACTGCCGAAAGGTATCTAACCGCATTCAAGACTAAAATGATTCCACACTTCCCATTTGTGGTCGTTCCCCCTGATGTATCTATCAAGCAGCTCCGTCAGGAGAAGCCATTCCTATGTCTAGCAATACTCGCGGCAGCTTCGTACGAGAATATGCCACTGCAACGGGTGCTGGGGGCCGAAGTCAAGAAAGTCGTCGCATCACGCATGATCATCGGTGGGGAAGTCTCCTTTGAGTTGCTGCAAGGGCTGCTGGTCTACCTTGCATGGTAAATCCCGGTCTATGAATACTTTGATATCGTTGATTGCATCTGACAATACATGGCAGGTTACATTATCACTCACGGCCACACAGTTACACTCCCTTCCTCCAACTGGCTATAAGCCTCATGATAGATTTGCGGTTGGACCGTCCACCGCAGACACAGACGTGGAAGACAGAGCTGCGCTTTGGGCTTCAATATAATCTACAGAATCAGACGTTTAATCGGCCTTCTTGGGGGAGCAACGAGCAGAGGGCGGTCTTGGGTTGTTACTATTTGTCGTCATCGTGAGTTTGTATGCCATCCGGGATTGATGAGTATTGGCTGATAGTCATTTCGCTTTAGGATTGCGATGCTTGTGCAAAAGAGATCTACTATTCTACGTGTCCCGTACCAGGAAGAGTGTTGCAAGACTCTCAGCGAATCCAACGAGTATCCTCACGATAAATACATCAGCTATGTGATACAACTCCAATTTATTGCAGAAAAGGTCGACAATCTATCTGCAAAGCATGGACTTGACTTGGAAACGCCTGGATCGGGGTCAGAACTCTACATTACCAATTTAAAGTCAGAGCTGGAGGTGTTCCACCGTCAACTACCCTTCAGTATCAACGAAAACTGTAAGTCTCAACAGAACACTAGGTTCACTTTTGAAAGGAGTGTTTAAATTAACTTGTAACTCTAAATGAAGTTCTTCTCGCTATACAATACCACGCGACAGGACTCAGCCTATTCCAACTAGCTCTCAACATCACCAACCAAGAGTCTGAATCACCCTTTGAGTCTGGCACGTGGAGAAAAGAAATGTCGCTTTCGGCACTTATCTCAGCCAGTTCGATCCTCAATCTATACATCCGACTTCCACCCAACGAGGAAGTCGGATTCAACAATACGCAATGGGTGCAGATAGCACTCGCCTTGCTTGTTACCTATCGACACACCGTGGCAGCCTCGAAACCAGACCAAACTGCTGCCTTCCGAGAGACTCTATCAAAATTGAGATTGAGGCTTGGGGCGTTGTCGACGTCGGATGTAGATAAGAACGGCGCTCGAGATGCTTTCTTCGACTTTGGGAGGCGTGTAGTTCAAATCGAGAACTGGCTCGCGGGAGATGGTGGACAGAAAGATAACTCTCACAGCGGTGAGAGCTTTGAGGACTTTCAGCATACGGTATGTCCTGAGCCGACACACTTTGATGGATTTATGGGGGTTGCGGAGGCGGAGCATCTCGATATCCCTTTTGGGAATTCATTTTTAGCTTCGGCGGAGGACTTCCAAATCCCACAGGATTTTTTCTTTGCATCCTCTTTTGAGCAGATTACAGGTGACTGGACATGATTGTGGATTCAATGTTTCGTTCTATAAGGCTATCTACCTCATCATATATCTTCTTTTGTCAAAATTGTTCACCTTTTCGTGTTCTATCCTAGCTAAAACCTAAGAAGATTGTCAAAATTGAAGCTATGAAACACATACGGGAAATGACGTGAGAAAAGCCCCAATACGAGATAATTGACTAGATAGTTAGTAGTCTTAGGGCTTGGAGTTTCTAAATTGGGATGATGATCCAATATTCGTATCGCCGAGCCGATGTATACAAACCGCAAACCGCCAAGATCTTCAGCATCACCGACCCGATGTTGGATACAAAATAGATATTGAGGAAGCAATATTCTGAATCTAAATCAATTGAAATTATCTGAAAATGATCTCAATCTCTCAAGCTTCGACATTCTTCTTGCTCTTCTCCTCGGTCTTCTCTTTCACCCCATGTCCACTCCTCGGCCCAGCATTCCCTCCATTCTCCCTCGACACAAATGACAAAACCATTACAGGTGCCCTGCAAGAGCTCAAACAGAAGTTTGACACACTGGTCACAACAAATACTGGCGTTCATGGGGATGTCTCGGCGAACACTACCTTTAGCATCGCTTTGTTCTCGTCCGACACCGGTAATGCCGAAGACGAGCCCTTCTTCTGGCAATATCATCACACAGCCCCTACATTGAACCAGTCTTCGGTAGGATCTCATGCCGCAGATAAAGACAGTATTTATCGCATTGGTGGTCTTACTGAGGTCTTCACTGTGTGGAGTCTTCTTCTTACGGGAAACGGAGACCAGATTTTTGATGATCCTGTTACTAAATACCTCCCTGAGTTGGGTGATAGTACAAGGGAACAAGGTGTTATTGGACATGTAAAGTGGGATGACGTTACTGTTGGTCAACTTGCGAGTCATATGTCTGGAATTGCAAGGGACTGTGAGTAGGGCACTGAACAGGAATATGGTTGGTGATCAGGACTAATTCACGATAAACAGATTGCTCAAAGGATGTAACTTTACAAACAAGCTCTACTGAGGTGGGACTGCCTCTACGCCAGGCTATCAATATCCCTTGCTGTGGTAATGGTTCCAAGTGTGATAGCAGCGGTATGAAACCCAAGTCCACTATCTCTCTCTGTGTACTAATCTCTCCGTAGATTTCATTCGACACTTGGCCAACAAAACCCCGGTGGTTCCAGCTGGGGGAACCCCCAGCTATTCCAACATGGCATTTCAGCTTCTAGGTTACATAGTCGAAAAGCGCACAGGAAAACCATTCAACAAAGTCCTTCAACATGGCATCTTTGACGTCCTAGGCATGACCGAAACCTCAATATTTGCACCAAACAAACCCACCACAGGAATTATTCCCGTGAGCAAAGAAGCCAGTGGTTGGTTAGCACACAACGAAGCAGACAAAGCGTAAGTCCATCCTCTCCACAAATCCCAGCCACCAATCTAATAATACACCCCCTAGATCAAAATCCCTTTTCTCCAGCATCAAAGACCTCGCAACAGCCGGCCAAGCAATCC